AGGCAGAGTTCTATATCCCCTATACCCAGTATTTTCCTGACAGGAGAAACAAATCCTGTTAGTAGCACAAACCCTCCTTTCCATGGTTTAATAGCCACCAATACATACCATTTAAAGCCAGTTTACTTGCAGGATATAAGCTCATATTTAAAATTCGTTCCTAGAAATAGGCACCTGTGATATCCTTTGAAAAGATATTTTTTCTCTAATGCAAATGCATAATGCTAATTATGAATTTTGTTCCAGTTCACTCATTTATGTTAAATCCTTTATCTTCTTTCACTACATAAACACTTCCTAACTTTTCTCCACATTGTTTCTTAAACCATGTCAGTACAGAGTTCTGCTCAGGACAGCATGTAGGAACTTGAAGTACGTTACTATTTGTCATGACACTTCAAATTAAGCACATGCTCAAATCAAAGTACTTTGCTGAATCAGGCCCGAGCCATAGAAAAATTACTTAAAACTTCACACCATTAACCCAAGTGAGCTTCCTGGAGGAATGTCTTCATGGGTGTATGGACTTCAGTCACTTCAGGCCCTCACAAGGCTCAAAGTATATTATTGCCAAACATCAAAATCAACAAGTAACCATTGAGTTACAGAATTCAGGGAGATGGACCCTTGCTATGAACTCAGTTTTAGGGCTGAGTGCAGCTAAAGATGTGCAGCTACATCCATATCGTGTCCAATTTACTCCCGTCCGTGCCAGAGTGATTTACAAACAAGAACCCGAAAAATGACAGAAAGGGAAGCAATAACGAAAATACTGATGCAAGTCTGCTCTTGCACAAGTAGTTACAAACTCGAGGTTCACTTGTAGGGTTCAGTTTTGCTTGTTTCGACAGTGAGGACATGAACAGCACAGGAGAAGCCTCAGCATACCTGTTGCTTCACAATTATTACCCAACTGTGACAGGTAAGCAAGCGAGCAAAATATGAGCTAGAGAAGCTAGGATGAGCAGCACAGTGCTACTGTTCACCTGTTTTAACCATCACTCCTCTCCCGAGACCTAATTTACTAGCCCCTGATACAGCAACAAATGGTTGCTTCAGCGCTGGGAAGCTCCCGCTCCAGCCCCACGGCAGCAGATCCTCCCCTCCCAAAAGCCTTCCTGGGATCTCTCACTCCGGCTGGTTCCCATCTCGCGCATGAAGAAGGCGTACCTTACACCGCTGGTATCCTCCCTAGAGATTCATAAGGCAGACATTAATTTAATGAGTTCACTTGTGTCTCTATGAAGGAAGTTATTCTCCCTTCACATAATAAACCCCTCAAACGTCCCGAGCTTCATAAATCTGATGGGACTGAAGTTTGCTCCAGTATGGAAAAGAGGAGCAAACCGGACATTTTGAGGGTTTATTTTTCCTTTGTTGAACAATAAAGTCAGGGTATGAGATGTCACTGGAGTTTGGAGATTAGATTTAAATATCGAGGCTATGAATGAAACTCCTTGTTTCTATACTGAGCAAGTACTAAATTCATGTCAAAATCTCAAAACCTTCATTTCTCATTCAGTCTCTCCTTTGCAAAGGGTTTTAAAAGAGTTTAATTTTAAAATCAATTTTTAAAGCACTTTTTGCTGAAGACTATTTTTTTTGTAGCACAGTTGAGCGACAGATGGAGACTGGAAGTTATGAGATTTTTAAGTTAAAAACTTTCTCAGGTGCTACCGCTGGGAAATTTTTTGCTTCTCTCTGCAGAATATGGTAGTTCAGTAAACAGCCACAATAGTTCTCCAGATACCGTTTGTGACAACTAAATCTTAGAAATTTGTTTCCATAACACCAAACCAAAGGAGAAATAATCCCATTTTCATTTTAAGCAGAAATACCTAAAACAGCTGAATGCCTGTATCAGGTTTCACAAAAATCAGCTTCCTCAACAAACAGAGATTTAGCAATGAACGGTGAACTTGGTTGTCAACTTCCTCTTCTCTTTTCTTTATGCCAGTCACAATTTGCTCTTAGTCTTTTTCTCTTCCTTACTAATCTTTCAAAAAACCTTGACCTTTCCAAACTGCCCAACAGTGGATTTCAGATGCATTCAGGTTGCTGTGCTTGAAATCCTTCTCCTTTGAAGCTGACGGGACTTTTGTCATGGGCTTCAATGAGGAAGAGATTTCCTGCTCAGCAGGAGAGTTGCGGTTCTGTCCCTGCCCCTGCTCATAACCGCTGTCTCTCAAGATCAGACTGCTGAGATAATGACCAGCCTGCAATGTGAATGCTGCTAACAAAGTGCTAAAAGACAAGAAGATGAAAACTATTCTTTTTGTCATTGCCATTGATATTTATACACACATTTATTAACTTCTTGAAACATCAATTTTTCACAGAAATGCAGGATCAACAACTAAAACTGCTCTGTGAAACCTGTTCGGCTGCCCTGGTCTTGAACTTGGGTTTCCCTCATCCCAACTATGCACATGAACCACTGAATATTGGTCTTTTCCTGAGCCCAAAATTTGATCCTGGATCTGTAATTACAAAACTTTACTCAGAAGTAGAGTGTTTCCATTTAAAAATATGTTATCTTGAGGAGCACAGGTGTGACTCAGGACCTGGAAAGAACAGCACAACATTTTTACATGCATTACATTGCCTTTTTGTACCAAGCGTAGATCCACCATCAGTTTAAAGTAGAGCTTCAAATGCAATTTTAAGGGATTTTTTATTGCAAAGGTAGGAGTTTGATCTGGATTACAGTCTCTCTGTACTTTTTCTTTAAGACATTCACATAGACTCAGCTACACTTCAAAATTAAATATTTCCGGTTATTCCCAGAACACCTTTCCTAGGTGCCATATTTCAATATACAGAATGGCATTCAGTCATCCTTACTCTACTCTGCCAAATAGCTGTATATACTCATCTTCCAGAGAATCTGCTTTGTAGCTAACAAACAGGTACAGAATCAGGGTCACACTTCCAGAGACCGCTGAGGCTGCACCTTAGGACATGAGATGAGACAGCCACAGACCTCTTTATACACGACTCCTTCTTAAGTTAGTGGGAACCAAAAGAGTATTTCCAACAGTGTAATCCCACCATAAATTATGTATTCATGTCCAAAAATTAACTTTTCAAAATCTTGTTTGCCAGGGCTCTGTATTGCATGACTTCGCATCCGTGCAAGTTACAGTGAATTTCACTGGTTGCTCAGAAATACAGAACCTGAATTTTCATTGAAGCAAAATACTTTTAACCTATCTGGAGAAGTTAAAAGCCACAACTGAGTACAGGCTGAACTGGGTGCAGCCTGGGACCACGCTGACAAGAGATAAGTTCACCAACAAGCACAGACAGCACTAAGTGACCCTTATGGTTAGGTTGCAGCCCACGGAATGCTATCAGGCAGAGGGCTAAGAGAGACTGAGGCAGCTCCTCAGCAGAGGGGTAATCCCCCCCGAGAAGCTCAGCATGCTCCTGGCATAGATCAGCAACTTGAGGTAGGAAACAGCAAGAGTCCTGGCCGTAGCACAAGTGTAACTTCATTGGTAGAAGGAGGGGGGGGGGTTTTCGCCAAAGTGTAACTGTATAGGGAGAGGGGGGGGGGGGGGGGGGGAGGAGAAGGGGAGCTACGCTGTGCACAGCTAAAGTCTTCACAGATTCTCCAGTTGGACACTGCATTCATGAAAACAACTCATTCGCCACAAAGCACTGAAACCGGGACCAAGCTTTACACAGTTCTCATATTTCCAGTTCTCAAGACAGATGCCACAGAGCCAGTAGAGCAGAGGAGAAATCGTGTCCTTTGTCAAAGGAAATAGCACAACAGATCTTCAAAACCACATACATTCGCGGGAGGAGGAGGAAGGAGAGGATGGGAGGAAGACTGGCACTGTAAAGCGTCAGCATTTCTACTCATTCTTTTCTATCACAAAGTTAAACTGTTCTTAAAGCGTATTCAGCTGATTTAAGAAGAGATCCAAGCGCAGCCTCACGGTGAAGCACGTAATGCGAACCGTTAATGTTTTGCGCCTGCTGGCCAAACCAAGAGTTTGGAATCACCTTCAGGTTTTGCGGATCCCCCATCCCCTCCAAAAAAAAAAAACAACAACAAAGAACAACAACAACTTTTTTTTTCCGGGCTGAAGCTAAATTTCGCCGAGAGGCTACATTCTCACCGTCCCCCCCGCCGGTCGCGACGCGCTGCCGAC